CCCAGTTTTTACTTTGATGGGATTTCTCGACTGCTGCCACATTGGCAAAAGTGTGCTGATTCGAATGGTGCTTATTTGGATTAAATCCGATGAGTGTTAAGAAAGTTATGATCGTTTAAAGTTAAACACCCAAAACGCTAAGAACTTTCCGGACAACCTAATAGAGTAGAAAACGACAAACATGGACTACATATGCTAGGTGTGGGCTGTCTTTGGCAGTCACAAGGGTCAGAAACAATTCCGAATCAGTTCGTGCTGGAAGTATTCATTGGTGACGAGGTTCCAGATGTACTGCACAGATGTGCTGTGGGTTGTGGGTGAGTCAGTCTGAGTTCCTGCTCATCCATGTGGCGTGAGCTCATATTATTGTCAACACCGTGGGGCAATATTGCTGCTTTGCCGATGACTAATGACATATGAAAATTCCTAGGAATTTCGTTGTAATAAGGTGATGAGTGACGAATGATGCTCGCGTTTTACTAGCCCATTCTAACACCTCCACGCTTGCTCACCGTTAGTGGAGGTGGACTGCCAGAAAGGCAGCAGCAACTCGTGGAAGAAAAGACTTTTCTTTCTTTTATGAGTTGTCTTTTCAGATGTCTGCTCGAAACTGCTTCACACCGTAGAGGTAACTCCTTTAACAGAGAGAACCTTGACCAAGGGCATCCAATTCGAAGGAGGATAACTCATACTGTTCAGGAGATTACTTTGCTGACCTCTAACCCTCAAAAGCTTCTACATATCGACGTCCAATCGCCATCGCAACGGAAGAGGAGAGCCGCTCTTTTTCTATACGTGAAGGGGTGGGTGCCTCGCTTTTAAAAGTGTTCTTTGCGGGTTGCATATCTCTGGCAATCATCCGGCCTATTAATACAACCTTGAAAGATCAAAAAGAATCGCTGAACAATCGCTCGTGGGGCTATATAGTGGCTCTGGTCCCGATTCGTCGAGTCGCTCATACATGAGGTCACCAAGGTTGTGAGTGAGTCAGTCGATGCAAAAGCAGAGACGCCATGTTAGCGACAGATGCCAAGGAGTCCAAAATGGGGGTCCTGTTCAGGATAAGGGGCACGATTAGCTCCTGCGGACCAAGAATCAGAAAACAATTCTGGATGGAATTTAATGTATGGGTACTGTATGTTCTTGTACACAACGTAAGTACCCTTCGAAGGCATACGAGTTACACATTTCTACACACTCGCTGGGTCAAGAAAACAAAATTCCAGATAGCGCACGAAAAGGTGGCACCAAGGGGAGCGGAACTCTATCTCCATGGTGCCAACAAAACCCGGCTCACCAAACACCTGTTTCTCCCACAACTCCGAGGGCCCGGATGTGTCAGGAACTCATCGAGCCTCTGAGCCTTTCTTACTACGTGGAAACTCTATCATTGCACACTCATTGCGAGTTTTCAACACTATGAGCCGCGCACTAATGGGGTTAAAAATGTTCTTTTCTTGATATTTTTTCACTATTTCTGCGATTCCTAGAAGGGCATAGCGAAAAGGAACAGGATCATCAAATTGGGCTACTTGTGTCTACAAAATGCTGAAAGCCGCTTCAGAGAAGCTTAATTTGAACTACCTCATTGGCTTACAATCTTACCTGCAAACGAGAGGGCGTGTCAAGGGGCGTGGATTGGAGCGCAGCCACGTCTCCACTATTTACTGCAGGCACAGGGTGGCATCTTTGATGGAAAAAGCCTTACAGCACGCTCCAATCCGCGCCCCTCACACTCCACAGTGACGCGAATGTGGACCTTAAAAGAAATTTTGGCAGAAACCAACTATGGACTTGGCCGGATTCGATTCTAGAGACTGCTCCAGCACTTCATAGAGCCTTTAGCGCTTTTCCATGGATAATATTATTGGTTACCAACACCTTTTCGAAGTTAAACTCACCTTATAATATGCACATATCTGTAGGTGAAATGTACTGCTAAGAGAAATAAGGACTGTGCAAACATTGAGCAGAACAAGACGGTAAATATACGGCCGATGTCTGGCGGCAAGCTCTCTAAACGAGTTGCAAAAACCAAAAATGCGCGCTCATGAATATGTATAGCCTGAAATGGTTGGTATTAAGGCTACTACGGACCGAAGGACTGAACTAATCTTTCCAGTAACTCACAGGTAGCAGCACTATGTTCACAATGGAATAAAGCACGTTGAAAACGGCAAATGATAACATGATATACTTGTAGTTACCAACTTCTCGCGCAGTGAAGCTCATGATTATATAGACGAGCCCAGAATTGAAAATGATCGAGGTGAAGCCAAAGGCGCTGATGATTCGCACATGGTAGTTTGGGAGAATCATACTCTGAAATCATTCCAATTAATAGGTTAGGGTTAGCATCACGTAAAGAGAAAACGCCACAGGGGTCAAGTGTCAACTGAAAATACTGTAGGGGGAATCGTATCCTACGCCAAACGCATTTGACGCATAAACGTCCTGCCTAGAAGTGATAATTTTTTGTGTTATTTTTAGAGTCAAGCCCTGCTCGAAGTCATACTGCATGCCATCTGGGATATTGATCATTTCCTCGAGTGAGGTTCCGCAACACAGAGGAAATTAGGATTCCCAATAACAATATTAAACTGCAAAATGTGTTGCAGAAAATTCAAAGAATACAAAAGTCTTGAAAGTTTTTTTATGACTGTATTATGTAGTTTGATAGAGAATGTCGTGCTCCGGTCCTTTTGGCAGTAAGCTTATCGTAATGTTCACTTGTTGCTTGTACAATTTTAGGACTTTGAAGCGATGCATAAACCAAGCCCCATTTGGCCTTGCCTTTTACTCAGTCTCTTCTGCGCCGTTCCTCTTTTCCGGTGAAAAAGTTAGAGCGAGAAGCAAGGACACGTTGGAATCGCTGGCCACAGATTAGACAAGAGCAGCGAAAGAGCATATGAGCGAGTGGGGCGGAGGGGGGAGGGGGGAACAGCTAGCAGGACTGAGCAACCTTGCACCTGAACGTTCATCCTAGTATTCCATGTATTTCTCAACAATGTGATCGCATGCAGGACTCTACACCACGGTGGAGCAGTCGTTTTCGCTGCAGACGTTGGGGCATATCAGTGGGGGGGGGCGTGACAAGAAAATCGTAAGTGTATCAAAATTGTGGGAGTGAACAGCGACGCCACACCCTACGGACGAGTACTCCTGATTGGCTGTTCACTTTTGAGTGCCAAAGGGATGGGGAAAATCCGTATCGCCTGTCACGCTTTTGTCTGAATTCATACGAGTTAAGCTGCCACAATCAACTGACATACGGGCTGAGTTCGAAAGGCCATGAGCCCTTTCCCCTTGGCTTGTTCTCGCTCGCACGCTTCAACAATTGATAGAGGACGAGCTGGTGCCGAGGCAAACCCAGCCCCTAATACCTCCTAGCGTCTGCAGTGAAAGCGACTGTTCTTTTGCGCAGGGCGTACGACCCTTGTTGGAAAATCTGCTCTAACGATAGATCCCCTTGGGAATCAATCCTCTTCTCGACCAAAGAACACCCTGAGTTTCCAGCACATTACCTACGTGCTAAAACAGAATTCCCTTTGTTAGTTTTTTCACTAACCTCAATGCAACAAAGTGCGTTTCAAAGCAGTCATCAAGAAAGAGAGCATTGGAAGTCAAGTGGTCAAGTGACATCTGTGATGTATGAGCCAAGTTACATAGTTCTGGGTTAAGGAGAGAGTTTTCGGGGTCAGTAAAGTATACAGTGCTCAATGTTGATCATTCTCTTTATGCAATGTGATAAGCCTGCCGCTAAATGATGTTTTTTCACTGTGTGCTCAGTGTTGTCCAACCTCTCTTTCCCACGAGTTGAGCGTCTCTGCACCTCTTTCGCCCTATGCTCGCCTAGTGCTGCGGCTCCTTGGGCGTTTTTGCTCGATTTATATGCTTCCTTAATCACTGGTAAGTCAATGAGTACCCATAGGGTTAGCCCTACCAACCATGGTTTGAACTCACGTGAGCCATTTAACATGTAACTTCCACTCATAGCTTCGATTGGGGCTACAGTGTAGTCTCATTGATAATCCAAGCTCCTGCCTCCCCCACTGAGTGAACTGCGTGTCACTAGAACCTATAGCAGATGTCTGAAGTTTGAAAAGGGCTCTATGGAGGCTATTAGGAGGGTGGAGAAGGGAGAAGAGTGGGCGTGTTTTTCATGTTTCACTAGAACGGCCGAGGGGTCTCCATCATCAACGTGACTCGCAACACTGAGGAATACCGAGAACCGCTAACTTGTGCCGGTGAAAAACCTCTAAGAACATGTGTACGGGACAAAAACCGAGCTACGGATGATCGTGATGTGCACGGAGAAAGTAACTGAAAAACCAAAAAGTTGTTGCTGCTCTGTGACTGCTTGCGTAAATAAGTTCACTGAGTTACATGTACTCTTAGAAAGGGGTCAGTAGGCTCGAAACATTCTGCTTTTCATAAGGTACGAGCTCTAGTACAGACTACGTCGGATGCGCGGTCGGCGGGAGGGTTCTGTTCTCACGAGCTCACTCTCGCGTAGGTATTTAACCTGAACTAATTACAGTAAAAGCGATTAGTCCCATATCCTTAAGGGATACCCCCACCTCACATATTTAGGTATGTTCTGGAGAAATGTGATCGCGTTTGAGGTCTAAAAATTTTTATTATAAAAACGAAATTAAACAAGATCAATTCAAAAGATAATCTCCATTACTATCAATGACTTGTTGCCAACGTTTATGCAAAGAATGGATTCCTCTTTCGAAGAACTCGGCCGGCTGCGACTCAAAGTAGGGTTCGGCACCACCCGAGGGGTGTTGAACCTTTTCGCGGTTTGTGAACTTTCTCTCGGCCAGGGAGTGCTGCATCGACCGGAACAGATGGTAATCGGATGGTGCCAGGTCTGGGCTGTATGGCGGATGAGGCAGGACTTCCCAGCCCAATTCCTCAATTTTTTCCAAAGTGATTTTCGCGACATGTGGACGAGCGTTGTCGTGGAGGAATTTTGTCGACGTCGTTTCGACACCCTTGACCAGGAAGTGCTTGATCACGCCGGACTCAATTGATCTTTGTGTATGATCGCCGTAACCGTTTGACTTGATCCGGTAACTTCAAAGTTTACAGTCAAACCTTGCTATCCACCAAACACAGAGCATCACTTTTTTGCCGTGTATATCCGGTTTCAGAGTCGGTTTTGGAGTGTCACCGGCGTCTACCACTGTCTTTTTCGTATTGCGATGTCGTAGCAGATCCATGTCTCATCTGATGTAACAGTAGAGTCGAAAAAAAACGCTGTTCTTGGAGCGACGAAGAAGAATTCGTCGCTCCAAGAACAGCGGTTTGCGTCGCTCAGCTGGTGCCGCACCCACTCTTCCCATCTTTTTTCTTCAAAAGAGGTAGACATGCGAGAAAAATACATTAAAGATGCACAATAAAAATCTTTCTAATAGGCGAATCTCAATATTCAATTTCTAATTAGGTCTTGAAAATTCTTCTATAGTAGGGAGAATCAATGACAATTCAAACCGCGCTTTCACGTTGATTTCTTTCCAAAACTCAATACTTCCCACATTGTTCTCTATTATGATCTGAAGTCTTTACCATCTCTAGCCATCGGTGGTTTGTTAGATCTGTTCTAGGACAATAGATCCTCTTGTCTACGAACGCGAAATGCTCTTCTACAGAAGACAGGCACCGATCGGGGGTTCTGGGGCAAGGGCGGAAAGTTAGAATGAAGTCACGCTCGGGCAAATTCTAGCAGGTTCCCTTTAATGGCTTTCTGAAGAGTGAATGATGAGGGTATCGGTATGACTGTTTTTGAAGGTTCTTAGCTTCTCATGTGAATAGAGATCAAAAAAACAAACTGGCCCCATGAAAAACAATGGTAGGCCCGGCTCCGCCCATGCAGCCAGAGTGAAATCCACCTTCAAGTAGCATTTAGTCATCAACGAACCTAGTTGACTGTAACTTTCGGCTTCCAAAGGTTGATGAAATCATGCACCCACGAATTGAATGCGCTTGGGAAGGGTCCATCCTACTATCGTGTGAGGGTCTGTCGCGTAGATAGTCAAGCTGGTCACTTGGCGGGGGCACGTTCTCGGTTTTTCATAACTGTCTTCCACTGAGTAGTCTTACAGCTTTACCTTTTTAATATTTGAAGTTAAGTGTTATGTATATTTTATTATTATTTTATGAGGAATAAGTTATAACTCTCAATTTCAGAATCAGAAACCAGATCAATGGGATCAGCACATTGGCATGCCACACTGCGACTCAGTGTGTAATGGATCCATTAAAGCGTGTTTTTGTGGATTTTATTGAAAATAAACGATAAGTGCCACAATAATAAAGCTTCATTTATATGACCATTTTCCAACTGTGTCTCAAAAAATGGTGAAACAAAATATAGTCTGCCAACATATTCTAATTATGTCACACTGATCTCCATTAGTATTATTATAAGGGCATGTGGCACGATAAATCAGTAGGGCACACAGGGTCGATATGCCTAGCACGATATAATATTGCACCCATAGCGAGCGCTGCGTGGCACCCTTTCCATTCAAGGAACCGTTATAGCGTTTTTCGTGTTTTCGCCATATATGAAGTACAGTTGATACGAAGCGTTGCTACATGGATAAATGAGTACATACGTGGTACCGAGCCTATCAAAACATACTGTTGTCACATAGTGTTGTTGGCACTATGCCAACGACAACTCGCCCAGAACTACCCGTCCTGTGCCGTGCAGAACAACGGTATTTTCGCATATGTTTCAACTGTCCAACTTAGCTTTTTTTCCCCACACATTTGCCAATTTCCCCCGTGCTATTGTTTTGGCAACTACCAAGATTGTGCGTTTATGCCTTCAAAAGAAACGACGGATGACACAGATGAATAGAAAATAAGATGGAAAAGTCGCTGTTGGAATCCCAGCATGCAATAACTTCAGAATTTACCATATCAAAAACATTTCCGTTCAAATAGCCAAAAATCTGAGCAACATTTTTAGGTTGCATCCGTGACGTTGGTCTCTGGTTATCTATCCGTCATGTCTCCGCCCTCCCCTCGGTCGGGGTCCTCTCTGCCCTGTTCAGAGCGGGTCCACCAACGCTATTAATACATCAGCCCACTGCTGCTTACCATTCCATTAACCACTGGCTTTTCCCTTTTTGATCTAACACTACTGTGAGCGTTATTACTATCATATACAAGAATGGGACGACGTATCGTATGGAGAGATGACGGGCCAGCGTAAGTAAATCTTCATTCAGACGATATTTATGTCTCGCTTTTGAATTGTTAAGTTGTTCGCTTTTGTCTGCTGTGTCGAATATTGTTTATTTATTTTCGATATTACTGTTATTCTAAGCATTAATTCTCTGAAATTGGTATCCTCCTGAATTTACATCCTTCGTTAAGCGCCTGATAATAAAACCTTATCACCTTACCACCTATGGGAGCTCACAAAGTCTAGGTTGAAAAACGCTAAGAGTTGAATGTTCAAAGCATAACTGCAACCGTGGCGGGTTTCTGAAGCTTAAAATCGATATTAGAACTAATTAGGAGTATTTTTCGTAGCATTCGTGCAAAGCTCACGATAAATGGCTTCTATGAGTCTTGTGGTTCGGCTACCATACCTCATGAAGCTGACACGTTATTTCTGTCCTTTTTCATTTCAGCCTGAAATGGTCGTAACTGCAGGACAGGCACGGACAACCCTCCTTACTTTGCAGTTCTGTTGTGTAGCATACCTTGTAATATCAAAGCAGCTCCGCAGTCTCATTCTGCCCTTAAAAATCACTAACCAGGTCCCTATTTCCAAGCAGTTCTGTGAGCATTACCTCCAAGGAGAATAAGAGAAGTGCGATCCTGAAACATCTACAAGAAGAGGGTTTCAGAGTTATGCATTGTAGGATTGGTACGCAGTTATGCTGAAGAGAAACCAATTTTTTTTCTTCAGATTAACTCGTCTCATTTTTGTTAAATGTATTTTTTATTATTTGGATTGGATTTTTGTGAATCATCAGACGATGATGTTTGTACAAACTGATTTAGTCAGGGGCAACATGAGGGGATAACGAAGCTTCAAGGGAGCCTTCTACAGTACAAACACACTTAAATGTCGTTGAAACCTGTAGAATTATTACTAGCGACAGCAAGTCACAGCGACATCGCGCGCAACGATAGGCGCTGTGATTCCGAAGAATCTCCTGCCCTAACCCTTGAAAGATGGCTTGAAAATGGTACTGTGCAATATGCTCTTGTCATGCTGAGCTGGATGT